GTAACATTTTTGTTTTTTATTCATCACTGTATGCAACCTTCTACAACTATATTTACGGTTTTGGGATACCTGGATTCTTCAGAAACAAGGAATTGACTAATAATGAAACCGCTGGTTAGACATGTAATGTTTTTGCCTTTCGGAGTAACAAAATCTCCCGCCTAAGTGGTTTTTTCTCTAATGGGCTAGCCCGAAATTTGGCTCAATTTTTTTGAATCATGGGATGAGTCGTTGTTTTTGGTGACCCATTTGATGATGCATGGGCCGCCTGTTTTTTTTGGGCCAATCTACTATAACACTTAGTCCGGAATTAAGTTAAGGGCGTCTTAGGCTGAAAAAAGTCTTAGAAATCAAAAAAAAAAATTTCTTTTTCTTTTTCTCTCAACATGATTGAACCAAAGAGCCGTTAAGATATTGTTTGGCTGACACAAACATGCCTTATAAGGCTTTTTTAGGAAAAAAAAAAAAAAGGGAGAAAATTCAATTTAATTTTTTTTCTTCCTGCACACCTGCACTTACTACGTTATAGCCGTTAAGGCATTGTTTTAGCCAAACATTGCCTTAACAACTATATTGGCCAAAAATTTTTTTTTTTTTTTTATTCTTTTTTATTTTCCTAACAAAATTAAATTTAATTTTTAAAAAATAAAAAATATAACCGTTGGAAAAAAGTTAATATAGTCGTTAGGAAAAAGTTAAAAAAAAGATATATTAAATTTTTGGAGAACGAAAACATACCATTAGAGCATATGTGATAACTAAAATTTGAAGAGTCCAAAACGCTAATGTGATTCTTGAAAATTGGTGACGTGGAATTGCTAGATCGAAAAAATTTGACAATGCTATTAGAGTTGCTTAAAAAAAACCAATTTTTTGATAGAGGGAAGGGAGAGAATCTGAGAAAGTGAACAAGAGGTAGAGAGAGAGTGTTAGACCCATGGGCGGAGCTATTCATGGGCTAACCTGGACTATTGCCCAAGTCCAATTAAAAAAAAAAAAAAAAAAATTAGTGCTATTAAGCCCATGTATTACTCTTCCTTTTCCTATCAACCATTCAACCCAGCCTAATCCATTGTAAAACATAAGAGGCCTAACCCAGCAAACCAAACACATTGTTGCAAAACTTAAACACATTGTTACCTTGAACTCTCTTTTTCTCAATTTGCAGAACTGTGTGAAACCATAACCATGTCAAATCTGAATCATGTGATCCATTAACGCCATGTTATCTCAGTATCCATATGATCTTTCTCTAACCCTAACCCAAAAGCCCTCTGCAAACCCTAATATATATTCTCAATGTTGATTGTCAATACAAAACATTCCTTGTTCACGATCTAAACCCTAAGATCATTCAACCCAAGATCATTCGATTTCTAGGAAGAAAAACTCGTTTTGAGCTGTCAATATTGATCATTTGCTTTGAATCATTGCTTGAAATCGTTTATTTCGAGCTCAAAAAGGTATTTTTTGTTTTCAGTTGTGAGTATTGTGAGTATTGTGCTATTATCGTTTGGTTTTAGCCTAAATTTTTTGCTATTCTAAATTTTTTTTTCTTCAATTTGTTACCACCGCATACTAATTATGACATATTTCTTGTGGGTTTTCATTAGTTGCTACAAACTTTTGAGGTTTTTTTTCAAAAACTGTTGCAAAGTTTAGTGATTTTTTACTGGTGTTTTACATCAAATTTGAGTTATTAACTGAAATTAGTTGCAATTAGGGGTTTTTCATATGCTGCCTCCACTGGTTTACCATTATTTAAATGTTCATTGATATTGTTGTTGTTATCATTATCATATTCTTTGCTTACTTATCAAAAATAAATAAAATCATTATCATCTTCGCTGCTTGATTTTTTTTTTTTTTCCCCCGGTAAATCCTTTGCTTGAAATTTTTCTTTAGCCCCCCACTTTCAAATCCCGGCTCCGGTGTTAAAATGAAAGGACTTGTGTTGATGAAGTGAAAAGTCATCAATAAAGAAAAGCTGATATGGCAAACGAACATTGGTTGGGATTTTAAATGACATGGCAGGTTTCGACCACTTAATAATTTCTCTTGAGGAAGGCGTTGGGCCGGAGCCTTTATGAAGCACAAACACTCCTCAGACATGCGTTAGACATTTTATATACGTGGCCATAAATAAAAATAAATTATTATTATTTTGAATACTTTTCCTATACTTTCGGACACTATGCCAACACTTTCAAATTTTTCTTAATACAAGCCTACCTGGTAATCTTAAAATTAATATGAACACTTTCTAAAATATTCAACTTTTTTTCTTGAAAAAAATTTGACATTATACACATATGATCACAAGCGAAACACAAAATGATATTTGTTCATTTAAAATAAAAACATTATTATGACAAAATAGTAGAATAATTGTATATATAAATATATAGCCGTGTCCAAGGTGTACTCGTGTCCTACTTTTTAAAAAATTGGTGAGTCGACGTATCCGTGTTGTGGCGTATCTGTGTCCTGTGTCTGTATCCATGTTACATAGGCTAGAGGAGAAATTGTCAAACTGAATGAACCTGGGAAAAGAAAGAGGAGGATAAAAATTCTCTCCAGCATATGTAATTATTTTACTTAATTCAATTAAAGTAAAAAATAAACTTTTAAAGTAAATTATTATGTAATTTAAGACTCCTAAACTCAATTTAAGCGTAATTTTCTAAAATAAATAAATTAACGTTTTGAATTATTCGGTGGGAAACAAAATCAAATTTTAATTGGGACTGAAAGAGAGGGTTAGAAAAGGAAAAAAAATACTACTTTATTTTTCATTTTGGTTAAATTAAATAAAATAATTATATATGTATTAAAAATTATTATTTCGGTCCAAAATGTCTTTCACACTGTTATTTCAAAATACTAAATTATCCTTCTTAACTCAACATATTCAATATATATATATATATATATATATATATATATATATATATATATATATATATATATCAAACCCACTCTCAAACTTTGTTTGGTTCAAAAAAAAAATTAAAAAAATATCAAAACCAATACTCTAGATCCCAAAATCTAGAATATGGCTTAACTTGTATGCAAACTCAAAGGCTGTAACTGTTGGTTGTTGCATTAAATTTTGCTTAAAGAAGAAGATAAAGATTTCATTTAGATATTTAATGCAAGGGAAAATTATTACTACTTTGTAGAAGTACGTAATGTAAAATAAGAAAAATTCTTGCAAACTATAAAAGGGTATGAACTTGGAAAATTTGGAATCGAAGCAAATTAGATGCACACTATGTTTCATAGTATACAGTAATGGACATTATTTGATTGATAATTCGCTCAGAATTCTGTTGGAAATTTCAGTATATGAAATAAATTCTTCAACTAGGGAAAAAAAAAAAAAAAAAAACTCTTGTAGGTGACTGTCATGTTGCAAAAAATAAAAAAATAAAAAAATAAAAAAATAAAAAAATAAAAAAAATAAAAAAAAAAATAAAAAAAAAATTCTAGAGGTAGGTGATTGTGATGCTGAGAAATAGACAAAAGGAAAATTGAAGTATATGTATCCTTTATACATGTTTTGTTCTGCCAATGAGTTTGTTGTTTTTATTAGTTCTATTTTAATATTGTATATATTAGTATTAGGGTCATGAATTATTATATGGTAGTCGTCATGGACAAAACTCTTCAGGGTTACGTTGCGGAATTTCAAATACAACGAGAAGCATAACCTGCAGCGTGCAAGTGTTTTGGCTTATTCTAAGAGCAGTAGGGAAATAATGTTATTGCATATGTTTGGTGCTTTAATTTGGTATGACCTGAAAGAGAAAAGGGTTGTAAATCTCGGTATTAGTTCACTTGTTGCGGATGTTAATGTGAAAAGCCTTGTGAAGCTCAGTCATTATCAATGATTAAGTTTCTACCAAAGCAAGATTCTATGGCGATCATGAAGGATATTGGGTATTCCTTATAAATTATGTTTGTCTTGTGTTGTTATGTTAAATATGTTTCAACCTTGTGATCATGGTCGGCAAATTATGATATTTTCACTCCACTTGCACCTTTTGTTGAACAGGAAACCCATTTGTGCTTTAAGCTTCGCTAACTCCTTGTATCAGGTTTAACTTTGAATGGATTAGTGGAATGACAATGCTTATTATGTTAAGAGATAGAATACAGAAATAATGGCCATGTCTTCGATGTGGATTCTGGTACTTGGGAACAAAGCACTGATTCACCTTTGCTGTGCTGATATCGATTACGGAAAGAATTAACATTTCTTCACAAAAATTTCAAAGAACACTATGCTATTTGATATAATGCTAGTTAAATATTTATCATTTTATTCCGTGCTTCCATATTATAGTGTCTTCATGCCTGTCGGATTTAATTGGATTTGATAATATGCTGTCTAAGGCTGAAATTCTTATCAAGGGCAGAAGAGTTACATACTACCCTTGATTTAAGGACACGTCTATTTGACTGCCATATGCTGATACTATGGTAGAAAGACGGAAGAATGCATAAAATCTGTCACTTGATAAAGTATTGCATACAGAACCAAGAGTGTTTCATATATAATGATTATTATGCCAAACTAGTAAAATCAATTTCATCAGTCTTATTCACAGTTTTCTCCTTTAAAAGCTTTGATATGGAGGCAACTTCTATCTGACTTGCCGGGTACTTGTTGATAGAGTGCTTTTATATTTTAGTGAAAGTATGCGCAGAGGAACTAGTTCATTTTAAGGAGCCTATTTTAAGGAACCTAGTTCATTGTGAGTTGTTGCATTACTTCATGTGTCCTCATTGATGTGGATTGATGAACAACTCACATCGTACCCTCATAAAATTAATAGCAACTATAGAATTTTTTCCTTTTAAAAGAAATAAATTGATATAGTAACGAATATGTTGACGTGACATTTTATATCCTATTCTTATAATTTTAAGAGAAATATAACTATAGACTAAGGCCTGTGGCCTAATAGTACCTTAAAGACATTGTGAGAGTTTTTTTTCTCCGGTATGTTTGACGTCGTGCCTTAATAATTTGTAGATCAGGAAAACGCCGTCGTTGGACTTCTTGGTGCTTCCGCGTTAGGCCTCTCGTGACAGGGTTGCTGCAATCAAAGAACTCCGGACACGAATCCTCTCCCTCCTCTCTCTCACACACACAAACACACAACTGCCACTTCGTTGGAATAGACTTATTTTTGTTGACTGATACAATTTAGGGTTTCGATTCGCTTAGTTCCTCTGATGCTTTCTCAAGAATTAGGGTGAACCATGTTGCAGATGCAATCACGGTTGGTGCTCTGAAACGTCTTTGCACTCGGTCGGACCTCATGCATCGGCTATTGTCTCTCTAGTTCGTCAAAGAACGTGAGTTCTCCATTTTTTTTCTCTCTGTATAATTTGGATCTCATTAGGTTCCATTTGGTCCTCCCCAAAATAATTGGGAAAGGAAATAATTTATCATTTCGATTCTGAAATTTTAATTAAGCAAAATCCGAGGAGAAATTCACTTTTGGTGTGTTTTGTTTTCGTTCCATTTACTCTGTTTTCTCAGCAATCAAGTAGAGGAAAGATTGATTTGTAGTTATGTTTTGATGTTTTATACTTCTCAATTTTTTTGGGTCTAATATTAGTTTTGGAAGATTATGAAGAAGGATTGAGGAATTCTTGAGTTCTATGTAGAAGAAGAAGATGATAAGCAAGGGTGTAGCCTAGTGAAAGGTTGAGGGTTCAAGTCTCCATTGGGGCAACAGTGGGTGTGTTATACCCATCAAAAAAAAGGATGAAGAAAAAAAGAAGAAAAAGAAACAGAAAAAAGTAGTAGAAGATAAATTGTCAGAATCATTGTTAAACCCTGTATATTATCAAACAAATGTCATGAAACATAATTGGATTTTATATATTAGAAATGTGTTATTCTCATTTACTTCAAATTTGAAAGAGGAGTTTCACTATATGGGTCACTTATCACCAAAAAAAACAGAAAAGAAAAAGTTTCACTATAGGAGTCAAAATTGTTTATTTTCCTCAGCAAAAGCGCAACCTACTTCATGCAATTTTTTTTGAATTTGGGTCATGTCTACTATATGTGATTCTCCCGATGCTTGAATATATGAAAGTAAAATGGGTTGATATTTTACTTTGTAGACCCAAGACTGGGAAGTTGGGAACCCAATGTAAATGGTTTGGATGGATGTTTCATACTCATGCTTTCACTCGAGGTTTTTGATTTAAATATAGACAAAATTTTAAAATATTTCAAGCTTGAAGCTTGAGTTGTATCTCACTGAATGTAATAGTATCCCTTGAAGATCAATGGTGTGAGTTGTTAGATAATGCCTCAGTAGTTGGGCTCTCCAAGGGAAACTTTATGGTATGCCTCAGTACCCCATCACCAGAAAGTGATATGAATGAGATATGTTATCATTCATTTAAATAATAATGAAAGAAAATAAGATGGGAAATCTTGTGCCCATACTTATAATCCTTATATAATATATTCAGGTTTAAATAGGCTATATGAAGTGATTAAATTGGAAACATGGGTTTGATAATCAAATATTAAACTCGTTATGTTGTTCTTTGTTCTTGTAATTCTAATATTGTTGAAGATGAGCAATGTAGAATGCATACTAGCATCAATTTTAAGGGTTGTTTCATTAATTGTTTTCTCCTTTGCTGGAGATGTATTAATAACTTATAATAATAATTAAAACACATAGGCTGTTCCAGGTTAGTGAGTAATTGATTGTTTGTATTTCAGGCTGTAGATGCAGTTTCTAATGCAGAACCTTGGACAGTGCCATAGACAGCAAAGCCTTTTCTGCAGGTAAGGATGATTTCTTTTTTTCTCCCACTCAGTGGTAATGGAACATTCTAAGTTGAGCAACGGCATATTGATCATGGCTTGTACTATCATCTTGTATCAGGAAAACATTTGCAATGAAAAATGCAACTGCACTTATAATTGGTGAATATAATTTATGATTTTTCTATCATGGGACATGAATTTTCAATTAATATGCAAAGAGGAAGCTTTTTGATGTGGGTAATAGACCAAGAGTTGACCATACCGCAATTCAAACCTTTTATTAACTATGCAGAATTTTGTAGTCCAGTTCTAAAGCCGGTTTTGGTTGTATTGGAATGGAACGGTTGTATTGGGATGGAACTAAAATCATAATTGTTGAAATTTTGGAAATGTTGTACACATTTTTTAAACATTAAAAAGTTAATTTGTGTTGCAACTCTAAAGATTTTGAATCCAACATGACTGTTGGATTTGGTAGCTTTGAATAATTAACTTTTACTACATGACGGTGTATTTGAAGAATATTGAGGACACAATTAACTAACTTCTTAGAAAGATTTTAGCTTATATGATTCCGATTGATGGGGTTTATATGTACGTGTATGATTTCGGTTCTGTGATAATGGTGGGATAGGATAGTATGGTGATGGAATGGGTTGATGATGCAAAGGTAGTAATGATGATTGTGGCTGGTGGCAAACCAGAGATATAAGGGAGGAAAGTGCTTGGGGGAGGAAGTGATAATGGTACTTCAATGTTAGTGGTTCGTGGTGACAAATAACAACCCCGCAATGGTGGCAACAATGGCCTCAAAACATGGTGATAGTAATAAAATGTGATTGGATGTAGTAGTGGTGCGATAATAGGTGGTGGGATGTCAGCGACAGTAGCAGTGGCGATGTAGAATGGCAATAAGGTGGGTGGTGGTCTGAACTCTTTACCCCAAAACTAATAAAATAAGGGGTGTGATGGAGTTGATAGTGGTGTACTAGTGATTGGGGTGGGGAAACAAAATAGTGGTGAGTGGTGTTAGGGTTAATAGATTAGTGGTGGACACAAGGATCTCACGTTGGCTGGTTTATGAAGGGGTGGTGAAATGTTAATTACATGCTGAAGGTCCACTTAGGCGCCAAAGTCTTTTAGAGCCTAAGCACAAGGTGTAATGTGAGGTGCGATTCTAATTGAAGCAAAGCGGGTGTGATAGAATTTTATATTAAATATAGTTATATCGAAAATTTTAAAATATGCAAGACAAACATATCAAGAAAAGAAAGAAAAAAAAAGGGCTCAAAATTAAGGAATTTAGAAACATGTCAGTTCAGTGGATTATCTAAATCAATGTACGGATATTCTTTTAATTTGCATATGAATTCAGTTAAATCAATGTCCAAGTGTAACAATTCAAAGTGTGACAAAAAACCAGTCAAAAAAAATTTACAAAAGGAATTTCCGGTATAGCGACTACGATAGTCAGATAAATTTATGCACATATATTCTCTGCATATGTGTCAACAATATCAAATCTCAAACATATATTATATTATCATAAATATACATAGAAATGGAAGCATTTAATGCAAGTAATCAACCATAAGTTCATAAATTCCGCTGAAATATTTGATAATATTGAACAGTTTGATCCACGAAATATGATTATGTATGATGTATAGCATATTAGCATGTCACAATGGTCATAAATAAAAAAGGAAATACAATGTGATCGAAGGATTAAAAAAATAAAGGGTCACAAGCAGAACTCAAACTTGCATTATATGATAAATCCAGCTTTTCTTGTTATTAAGATTGCGTGGTTACCTTCCCAAAAAAAAAAAGATTGTGTGGTTACCTTAATTCCCCTGCACACTTCTTTTTTTTCTTACCCTAAAGCCTACTAAGATTGAAGCGTGTGAGGGCTTTATATGCATCTATTAAAGGGACCTGGTGTAACGAGCCAGGTTCTTCGCGGTTTGATCCAAGCTATTTGGTGATGCTAATACCCAATACATATATATCCATTTTATTTCCTATTTGGATTCGATGTGGGACAAGTTCCTCTTGCAACATTCTCTCACACTCAAATTCGCAATACCCTCGTTGTGGCCGGGCCACCTTGTCCACCCGGGGAGAAGACCCTGACGCTTCTGGGCAGGTTCTTGGCGTGACATCAAATCAATGATTAGGTCTGGCTCTGATACCAACTATAACAAGCCGAGTTTTCACAGTCCAAAAGTTTAAGCTATTAGGTAGGGCTAACACCCAATCCATATATACCCATTTCACTTCCCATTCAGATCTGATGTTGGATAAGTCCCCCTTGTAACACCTGGCTTGTTAAGGAACTTCAATTCAGTGTTGATTTTTTTTTTTTTTTTCTTTCTTTTTTTTTTTAATCCCTTTTTTCCTTTTCCATGCCTAGGCATGCTTTTAGCAACCATGTGGTGGTAAAGGAGTTGATAGTAGTAGTCGGGTTGAGCTTTGTTAGAAGAAGAAATAATATTAAAAGAGAGGTGAAAAGGCCAAGTGTTACAAGTGAAACTTGTCCCACATCGGATTTGGATGGGGGTTGAAGTGTGTATAAATGGGTGGGTATGCTGCATTACCCAATAGTTCGAGCTTTTGGGTAAATTGGCAAGCGCCCACTCGTTACAGTTGGTATCAGAGCCAGACCCAGTCCTTAATCCGGTGTCACACCAAGCGCCCGGTCCGGAAGGCGTCCGGGTCTGCCTCCCGGTAGGTAGGGTGGTCCGACCGCAACGAGGGCGTTGCGTGGGTTCAGGTGGGGGAGAATGTTACAAGTGAAACTTGTCCCACATTGGATTTGGATGGGGGTTGAAGTGTGTATAAATGGGTGGGCATGCAGCACTACCCAATAGTTCGAGCTTTTGGATAAATGGGCAAGCGCCCACCTATTACACCAAGCCTTTGTATATTATTCCACACATTCAATCTGTACAATAAAGACTTATTTATAGGTGGGGGTTAGGGGTTGGTAAGTGACGACGGCCGTTCCAATACGCCAAACTAAATGTAGTGAATGTGTGGTTCAAGAAAAGCCTTTTATGTCAAATTTAAATTTATAAAAACCACTACCAACACCACTACTAACGTAGCAAGAGTGAGTAGGGATCGTCCCAAGGGATTATACGTGTTGGAATTTCAACTTCGACTCTAGCGTACCAAATGATTGCAAAAGAGAGTTGGGTTGGTTGATTACTTCTAGAAAAGAATTAATTAAAATGCAATAAAAATAAAACTAAGTAGAGATAGGGATTTAAGAGATGAGAAGAGAGAACTTAGGGTGTTGGAATCACCACTAAGCTTGTGTAATTAACCACTTGCTTTCCATTAATGAGGAATACATTGTTGTGAACAAAATTGGTTCGACTAGCAAAGGTAACTCAACAAGTGTATAATGTCTAAACAACATGTGAAATGCTACAATATATCTATTGGAAGAGGAATATATTGTCTAGACAACATGTGAAGAGAACAAAATATCAAATCAAGTCATTAAACCTTTCATTAAGCTCATAGTCCAAATAATTCACAAGAATGACTTAGTTAAACATGTATTGTTTAAACATCATGTGAGAGGCCACAATATATCTATTGGGAGAGGAATATATTGTCTAAACACATGTGAAAGATACAATATATCATAACAAGTCATTAATCCTTCATTAAGCTCAAAATTCCATTACACCACAATATTAGAGCATATGCTTCTGGCATTCAAAAACATGGAACATCAAAGAACAAGCATGAATTGTCTCCCCCATCTAACACTACACTACAACTACACTACTAGCATGAAAATAAACTAAGGGAGAGGTACAATCCATCAAGGAATAAGTATGAACCATCAAAAGACATAACAAGAGCATTTCATTAAGCACTAATGTCTAGCCATCACTAGATTCTCAATTAACCACACATAAACATGCAATTAATATAGAAAAACTAGTGTAGAGATTAATTCCCCAAATAATCACACATAAGACAACATGTAATTAAAATAGAGAATCAATGGAAGAATTAACCCATATGAATCATGTGAGACATAATTCCTAATTTAATCACACATAGACATGTAAATAAACTAGAGAATTAATAAGAAGAATTAGACCATGGAAATTATAGAAATATACCAAGATTCATGAAATTCACAAGGCTTGAACACTAATCACAACAATATATATATAAATCCCCAAAAATAGAAATACAAGGGTTTAGATTACACAAGACTTAGGGCTCATCCAAGCCCTAAGTGTAGATCTAGTCAATCATGGAGGAGGTGGATGTAGTCATGGAATCAAGCTCCAAACATGGCTCCATCTTCTTCTTCCTCTTCTTCTTCTTCTTCTTTGAAGCTCTAGAGATGGAGAGATAGTGGATTTAGAGATGTGTTCTTGAGATGTGCCTCCACTTCTCTCTTTTCTTCTAACCCTAATCTCTAACTTTTCTAGAGAGAGAAATAAAAATTACAATGTAGAAAATAAAATGATAAAAGCTAAAAATCCCCTTTTTACAAATGGGTTGCTTCTCTTTATATAAAAGGTCCTTTTCTTAGTCACTAAGTCTAGAATATATGCCCAAAAATATCTAATCCCGCAACTTTTTGGTAGGTGAACTTTTGGGCGCGCACGGAAAAAGTGACAGCTTGCTGCCAGCATGTCCAGTTCAATCGATCCAACTTATTTTCGATCGATCCAACTTTTCTGATCGATCGAACTAAAAGTTCGATCGATCCAACTTTTTTTTGCGATCCATCCAACTTTTCAGCTTTTCAGTATCAGCTTCTTTTTGCTCCAAATCAGCCTCTTTTTGCTCCGGATCATCGCTAAGACTTAGTTTGACTCCAAAAAGGCCTTAAGAACTCATTTTTAGCCCATTTTAACATTATTGACCTGAAATAGACAAAAACACAAATAAGTACTAAAACGGGTAAATAAGATAGATAAAGGTCCTAGAATACTCAAGCTTAAGGGGTTTAAATGTGTACTTTTCAGCGCTCATCA